GAGGCGTGTGACCGGCGCACAGGGCAGTGCCTGCGCTGCCTCTACAACACTGCAGGGCCCCACTGCGCCGAGTGCCAGCCCGGCTTCTACGGGGATGCCACACGACACAGCTGCAGGCGTGAGTACCCACTGCCGGCCAAGACAGACACAGACTTGCCTCCAGGGCCTGACACATCCTTGGGGACCATGTGTACCAATGGCTGCCCCTGCCTGTGCACAGGGCTGTGGAGTCCCTGCAGCCCTGCCCTCTAACAGGGTTGTCTCCTCTGCCCAGGCCCAGCACTGTGGCGCAGTCCCTGTGCCCATGTCCAATTTATTCTTTCCCATTTATATCCTATTCTCATGCCCATTCTTGTCCCCGTTGCCATCCCATCCCCACTGCCATCCATCTATCCCCATCCTGTCCTTATGCCAGCTCTATCCTGACCCTAGTCCCATCTCCATCCTATCCCCACCAGTGGTCCTCATGTTACACACATTCCACCTCCATCCAGTCTCTACCCCATCTTTGTCCAATCTCTCTTTCCATCCTGCTTCCACCCTCATCCATCATCATCCCACTCCTGCTCTGTCCCCATCAGAACTTCCATCCCATCTCCATCCCAATCTCATTCCCATCCTTGCCCTCATTCCCTCAACTCTATCTCTGCTCAGTGCCTCTTGGTTCCAGGTTGCTCCTGCAACCCCCTGGGCACTGATGCCAGCACCTGTGGGCCCCAGCAGTGCCACTGTGACAGGCACAGCGGGCAGTGCCACTGCCTGCCCCATGTGGAGGGCCAGAGCTGTGACCGCTGCAGCCCCAACTACTGGAACCTGGCCAGCGGGCAAGGCTGCCAGCCTTGTGACTGCCACCCCCAGCACTCCCTGTCACCCACCTGCAACCAGGTGAGACACGACAGGGACAGGGGTTGGGGGATGGGATGGGGCTGGGGGTGTGCTGAAGCAGTGCCAGCCTGGCCATGCCATGTCTGTCAGTTCACAGGGCAGTGCTCCTGCCGGCCAGGCTTTGGTGGCCGGACTTGCACGGACTGCCAGGAGCAGCACTGGGGTGACCCGCGGCAGCAGTGCCGAGGTGAGAGCTGGTGCCAGCGGGGGGACCACAGTGGAGCCTGTGGTGCCCTGACACTACTTTCCCTGCAGCCTGCGACTGTGACCCCCGTGGCATAGCCAGTGCCCAGTGCCACCGCAGCAGCGGCCACTGCGACTGCCGGCCTGGCATCTCTGGAGTCCGCTGTGACCAGTGTGCCCGGGGCTTTTCTGGTACCTTCCCTGCCTGCCAGCCCTGCCACCCCTGCTTCGGGGACTGGGACCGTGTGGTGCAGGATCTGGCTGCCCGCACCCGAGCGCTGGCAGAGCGGGCCAGGCTCCTGCAGCACACCGGGGCTGCCGGCGCTTTCGAGGGCACCTTCCGGCAGCTGGAGGAGAAACTGGCCGCTGTACGTGACGTGGTGGCCGCCCGCAACACCACTGCTGCCACCGCTGCCCACCTGACACACACCATGGAGGGGCTGCGGTGAGCACCTGGCGCAGGGCATGGCTCCCAGGGTAGCCGAGGGGCAGCTTTTCACCCCCGTGCTTTGCAGGCGGCAGATCGAGGAGGCAACTGAGAGGCTGACACGGGTGGAAGGGGAGCTGACGGCCGCTCAGGATGCCAACTTCAATGCCAGCCACGTGCTGAACACTGTGGACCGGGGCGCCCGCGCCCTCAACCACAGCCTGCAGGACTTGGAACAGCGGCTACACACCCTCAAGACTTCCAATTTCCTTGGTGAGCCACACCACAGAGGCAGGCCAGGGTGGTCAGGCCACGGCCGGGGGTCTGACAATGTCCCTGTCCCCCAGGTGCCTATGACAGTATCCGTCAGTCCTACCAGGAGTCACAGGAGGCCGAGCGCCGGGCGGACGCCTCCACCCGTGCCATGCCCAGCCCTGTCAGCAGCTCGGCCGGCACTCGGCAGCGCACTGAGCAGCTCCTGGCCAGCCACAGGGATGGCTTCAACCGCCACAACGCAGCCAGCCGGCGGGCACTGATGGACCTGGCAGCGAGGGCACAGGCGCTGAGCCTGCAGCCGCTCAACGAGAAGGTGGGACACGGGCAGGGAGCTGGGGAATGGCACCCAGAGCTGGGCTGATCCCGTGCTGCCTTGCAGGTCTGCGGTGTGGTGGGAGATGTGCCCTGTGCTGAGAGCCCTTGTGGGGGTGCCGGGTGCCGGGATGAGGACAGGGGACGACGCTGTGGTGGTCTGAGCTGTGGTGGAGCCGTGTCCAAGGCTGACAGTGCTCTGGACCGGGCACGCCATGCCCAGGAGGAGTTGCGTCAGGCTGCCAGCGACATGGCCCAGCTCTCCCACAAGGTGTGTGGCACATGGGTGCTGGTGGGATCTGGTGGCACAGCCACGCTCTGCAGCCCTTGGGGCTGGCACCGAGGGTCTCTGCCCATGCTCAGGTGGCAGAGGCCAAGGGGAAGGCAGATGAGGCCCGGCTGCGAGCACAGGCAGCCCTGGACAAGGCGAACCAGACCAGGGTCCGTGTGGAGAGCTCCAACAAGGAGCTGAGGGAGCTCATCAGCCATGTCAAGGCCTTCCTGAGCCGTGAGTGCCGGCATGCCAGTAGGGCTGGCCACCCCTACCCAGGGCTCTGTGGCTCTGCACCTGCACCACACTGCACTGACCCTGCACTGCACTGCCTTGTCCCAACACTGCATGTGGGCTGTGCCACCCCTGCCCCATGCTGCATTGCCTGGTCCCTGCCCTGCCCCAGCCATCCTGTGCCCTGCAGCCATCTCTGGCCCCCCTGCCCTGTCCCATGTTCCCCTCTGCCTTTTGGCCTGCCTGCCCCCTGCACCCCGGCGTGCTGTAGGGAACACACTGACTGCTTCCACCTGCAGAGGAGGGGGCTGATCCTGAGAGCATTGAGGTGGTAGCCAGTCGGGTACTGGAGCTGTCACTCCCCGCTGCACCGGACCAGATCCACCGCCTGGCCGAGGAGATCAAGACGCGGGTGCGCAGCCTGGCCAGCGTGGATGCCATCCTGGAGCAGACAGCCAGTGACGTGCAGCAGGCTGGGCAGCTGCTGCAGGATGCCCAGCGGGCCAGGTGAGCCCAGGGATGTGAGGACTCAATCCCTCTGGGGAGCCCAGGCCAGGCCATGCTGAGGCCTTGCTGTGTGGCCACAGGGCTCGGGCAGAGGCAGTGCGGGGCACGGCCGAGGCCGTGCGGCAGGCGCTGGAGGAGGCACGGCAAGCCCAGGGCATGGCTGAGCGGGCGCTGCAGCAGGCTGCTGGTGACATCCAGCACAGCGAGAGTGCCCTTGGCATGGTGAGAGCCCCATCCCCACGACCACGGGACCCCATCCCCACTGTGCAATCACCAAACTGCCATGCCACCATCCCCAGATGCAGACCCAGACAGGAAGTGCAGAGCAGCAGCTGGCAGGTGCCATGGAGCTGATCGGGCTCCTGGACAGGCAGACTGATGCCCTGAAGGTGAAACGTGCAAACAACAGCCTGGCAGCCACGCGTGCCCAGGAGGCAGCCAGCACTGCGCGGGACCGGGCCGGCGAGGCCAAGCAGGTGGGTGATCAGGGGGACAATGTGGCAGCAGGGGTCCCGTGGCGATGCTGCTGACCAGCCCCGCTGCCCAGCAGGTGCTGGACGGGGCACTTCGGGACCGGTACCGGACAGCGCAGGAGCTGGTGGAGCACCGAGCGCAGGGCGTGCAGCAGGCGGGCAGCCGGGCACAGCAGCTGCGGGAGGAGGCCGCGGGGCTGCTGCAGGACGCCCAGGGCAAGCTGCAGCGGCTGCGAGGTGAGGCCGGAGCGGGGATGCTGGGGCGGGGCTGGGGGCAGCGGTGGGAGGCCGGGCTGACTCATGTTCCCGTGTCCCTGCAGCGCTGGAGGAGGAGTACGAGCGGAACGAGCGGGTGCTGGATGCCAAAGCGGCCCAGCTGGGCGGGCTGGAGGCCAGAATGAGGGAGGTGCTGGCCACCATCAACCAGCAGGTCCAGATCTACAACACCTGCCAGTGATCCCCGAGGGCCTGGACCCCCGAGCACCGAGCACTCAGCCTCCCGCCGCCCGGCCCCCGCCTGCCCCGCGGCGGCAGGCGGGATGGGGGCTGCAGGGTATCCCGTGTGAATAAAGTTGCAGAGCAAATCTCGCCTCCGTGCCGTGGGCCGTCCACCACGGGGCGGCTTCCCCCGGGTGGGAGCTGGACGCCACCGGGTATGGGGCACAGCGGGGCGGGAATGGGCAGCGGGGCTGGAGGGCACAGCGGGCGGGAACCGGCAGCGGGGCTGGGGGGCACAGCACAGCCGGGATAATCCCCCAGAGCAGCCGGCAGTGCCAGGCTCAGCCCCGGAACGCCCGCGGACCGGCCAGGGGCTCCCGCGCGCTCCCGGTGCCGCGGGAACGCGCCGGCACCACCCCCGGCCCGCGTCACGTGACTCCCTCCCTCGCTCCCGTGTCACGTGGACGTGCCCGGCGGTTCCCGGAAGTGCGTCACGGGCTCGGGCCTGTCTCCGTTGTCGGCCCGCTCGGAACTTCGGCGCGGCACAAACAGACCGGAGCGGCGGGCGGGGCCGTGAGTGCGGGGAGGGCCGGGCCGGCCGGGCCGGGGCGGCGGCGGGGCCCGGGGGCGGCGAGCGGCGCCCGGGCCAGCGCGGGGTGAGGGCCGCAGCGGCGGGCAGGGCCCGGGGGCGGCGGGAGGCCGGGATGCGGCCCGTGGGCACGGGAGCCGGGGCGGCGGAGAGCGAGGCAGGCAGCGGATGGCGGTGGCGGCGGCCTGTGCCGGGACTGAGCGGAGAGAACGTGCGGGGCGGCTGAGCCGGGCCCGCGGGGCTGAGAGCGGTGCTCGGCAGGACGGGCCGAGCGCGGCAGCCCCGGCAGGAGCCGGCGCGGTGACCTCGTGCTCTGCCCGCCGGGGCCGCTCGCACAAACACCGACCGGCCGCATAAACACCGTTCACACAAACACCGCTCACAGAAACACCGGTCACACACAAACACCGCTCACACAAACACCGTTCACACTCCCTTTGCCCTCTCTCGGTGCCCGGGGCCGGGCAGCGGTGTCCGGGAGGCCGGAGCCGCCGGCTGATGTCCGAACGCTCTCATCACCATCCCTGCCCATGGCCCGCGGGTTGGAGCTAGGTGATATCCATGGTTTCCTTCCAGCTCACACCGTTCTGTGGTTCAGTGATCGTCCCCGGAATGAGGGAGCTGGGCCTGCCGGGTTCCCCACTCAGCAAAGGCTCGCTGCTGTCACACTGCGTTGGGTGCACAGTGATTTCCACGTGGGTTGGAAACATTTTGTGTGACAGTGCTGGCTTGAGCAGCTGCCCCAGGGACTCTGTGCTTGCCCTGGCTCCACCCGTGTGTCAGGCATGCCCAGAAACAAAAATAAAAGTCAAGCTTGAGCCTTGGGATTTCTGGTCCCTCAGGGGAGCAAGAAACAGAAGGTGACTGAAGTATTTGTGTACATGGGGGACGTGTTTCTGTTAGCTGTGTTTAGGACATGGAGGATCCAAAAGTCCCTGGAAAGATGATGCTGTTGGGATAGCCAACCTTGTCTGCAGCTACCCCTGGAAAGGCCTTTGGGCACTGATGGGGAGTGCTGTGGACAAGAATCAGGGAGCTCCTCCTGCCAAACCTGCCCCAGGCACGGAACACAAATTGCATCTCATTGAGCCCTTTGTGCTGTCCTTCCTGGTCTGGTGCTGCTCTGGGGAGGAGTGGCCCTTCTCCTTGGCCTCTTGCTCCCTTTCCTCTGGCCAGTCAAAATATTTGCAGTCTCAGCATGAGCTGGGTTGGGAAACTGCTCGGGGGCAAGACACAGTTAGGAGAAAGCCCTGGTTGGATCTGGATCACCCCACAGCACAAAGGCAGGGAGAGCAGAGGACAGGGAAGCACTTCTGCTCCCTGCAGCAGCATGGCCACGCTGCCCTGGCTCTGGGGATTGAGTAAGGTTTTGTGGGAGTGCCCAGCTCATCAGGTGTGTCCCAGAGGTTCACCTGGCATCTAGCCAGAGCAGCCTTTCGCCATCTCTCCCCTGCAGTGACTCCTGCTGTGCCAACAGGAGTGGTGCCAAAACCTTTGTGCACCCAGGGGCTGAACGTGCTGCCCGTGTGAGCGTTTCCTGGTGGCAAAAAGTCTCTTATTCACCTATTTAATCCCTGAGGAACCTGTGCTTTCCCTTCACTCCTCCAAAACTTTGGGGTGTGTGCAGCAGCCTCGGGCTGCCATCAGTCTGGCAGCTGCAATGGGCAGAGCTCCAGCCCCCTTGGTCCCTGCCTGCTGTGAGGAATGGCTGGCAGCAAAGCACCCGGGGCAGCTGAGCCTCAGCGAGGCGTGAGAGCAGCAGGCTTCTCCTGGAGCAGTGACAAGCAGCCATGCAACCCTGCCTCTCTTCCTCACCCCTTCTTGGGCAGAGGCCTCTCCTTTCTCAGCTCTCCAGGACCCTTCTCAGAGCTTGCTTTCAGCCCTGCCCAGCAGTTATCCTCTGCCACCCCTTTGGAGGTGCAGGGCAGGGCCTCTCCTGACCCTGCATGAAGCAGTCGCTGCTTCTTGAGTCCTATTTTTCCTGAAGTTTTCACCCTGGAGGCAAAAGAAATACAACAAAAAATGCTTTCCCATGTTTGCCAAGCCCAGGTGAGCTTCTTCAGCACCAGGGGACTGGAGCTGAGTGACAGCCTGCAGCTGGCATCAGAGGCCTAGCCTGGTGAATCACTGCCACTTTCCCTGCTGTGGGGGCCCTTCCCATTCCATCTGGAGCCAGAAATGCTTCTGCATCCTGGAGAGACCCAGTGAGTGCAGCAGCATGGGGGTGATGCTGCTGCCCTCCCACACTCTTTCAAGCTCTTTGGGACTGATGCTGGACCCTGCTCAGCATCTCAGTCTCCAGGTCACTTGGGCTTCTCCACCGTGGGTGGCAGGAGTTGTCTGTGCCAGGCAGTTGGGCTGGACTCAGCTTTTCACTTGGCTTCAGTGGTTCTTGGTGGTGAGGGTGGGTTGGCCTAAGACGAGTGGTTTGGATGCAGCACCGGTCATGGGGCTGGCTTTGCCAGAGCTGAGGGCGACACCAGGCTGCTTTGATCATTGGGCTTCCTCTCAGTTTGTGGCTGCAGCTCCACATTTGTGGCTGCTTGTTGCCCCAAACATTTCTAGGCAACAAATGCCCTGGCAACATGGGGCCAGCAGGACAGAGCTGGCAGTGTCCTTCCTCTGTCAGGGTGCCTCCCTTGGAGCTGCTTCCTGCCATGGCCGTGCCCATGCACAGCGAGGGGTCTGTGCTTGGCATGTGGGTGCAGGCAGAACAGGGTGTTCCCGAGGGACAGCTTGCCTCCCAGTGGAGGAGAGGCTGGCTCAGGGGAGCTGGGCTGGGCCAAGGTGTTGTTGGGCTTGGCTCCACGTCCTCACATGGGAGCTGGGCCGTGGGCTGCGTGTGAAACGGTGCCCTGGGAGCTGTGGCAGGCAGCTGGCACCTGGGGGTGGGCAGGATCCCAGTGGCTGGGCCTGTTTCCGTGCTGCAAACCCCTGCAGGCTGGCAGGCTCTGCCAGGGTCGGGATGTGCAGCCAGGGCAGCGAGGGAGGAAACCTTCCCAGCTCTCTGCTCTCACCGCCTCCATGGAGACGCCTCCAGTGGGACTGTTTTCAGGGGTTGTTTTGGCTCTGCTCTCTCAAAGCCCTGAACACTGCAGGGTGACACTGATAAGTGCACCTGGGCTAGCAGCTCCCAAACCCTGTAGGGCAGCTGGGTTTGTAGGGAGGGCATGTCTACAAAGGGGGCAGGGGTGAACAACTTAGATGCCCTGCTCAGCCTACTCTCTTCCTGGGCCACGAGGAGCAGAGGTGTCCTGTTTCCAGGCCAGGCCCCGCTGACGCCGTCTGTAAACTGGCTGGGGGATAAATATTCAAGGTGCAGTCATGCTGGTTAAGTTCCCAGCTAGTGGCAGAAGGGGGAGGAACTCTCCTTTCGCCAGGGAGCTCTGCTCTCGTCTGTCATGGGAGCCTGTCCCAGGCCTGCTTCCTTCTTAGGGTGTTACAGGCTCCTATTCTGGCGCTGTTGCACAGGACACTGTTTGACTGAAATAGCTGTTGCTCCAAGCTGTGTGACAGGCTCCCCCCGTTGACTCTGGAGGCTCAGTTTTGCAGATCCAGACCTCCTCATGTCCTTGCCCTCAGCTGTGTCTCGGGGTGTTAGTGGCAGCAGCTGCTCTGGGCCGGTGTTGCTATAGTGGGAGCCATGAGCATGACACTTGCTTTCCAGGTTTTTAATGCGTGCCACATACTGAAGACCCCTGATTGTATGTTGGGAGCTCTGACAAGCCCATGCTTTTGGCAGTAAGCATTGTAGCAGCTGTGATGAGGTAGGTTTCCTCACTGAGTGCTGCATGGGGCTTCCCATAAACAACATGGTGAAGGTCATGTAAGGGCACTGGCCCTGAGGCAAAGAGTGGATCCTGCTGCTGTTGGGCCTTTTCCACCTGCTCCTCCTGCCATGCTTGCTGTTTCCTCTCTTTAGGCCATTACTTCCTTGCCAGAGAGTTTGACCACAGAGAGTCGCCAAGATAGCTGGGCCAGGAAGAAAACGTCGCACCCCTGACCCAGACTCCATTAGCGACCCCGGCGGGCTGTTTGTGTCCTCCAAACGGCTGAAAATGTCCAGCAGCACAAATGCCCCTGGCCAGAGGAGAGCGTCTCGGGGCTTGGATGATGCCACCAACAAGAAGAAGCAAAAGGATCGAGCCAATCAGGAAAGCAAGGAAGGTGAGAGCCCCTCAGCATCCCTGGTGAGCAGGCCTGTGGTGTCTCAGCCCCGCAGCCTGGGAGCCTCTCAGCCATCTGCTGCAGGATAAGCAGATTTAACTAATCACTTCCTGCAGCTTATGGTAACCCGTGTGATGTGGGATCTTCTTCGACACAGTGTCCTCCCTGGACCTGTAACCTCCTTCCTTTGGACACTACTTAGCCCCAGCAATGTTAGGAAGGTCGGGCCTGTGGCCTTGTTAGCTAAAGTCTGGAGCTGGCCTTGGTGATTGTTTCTAGACTCTGCTTTGGACTGACTTTGATCTGCCCCAATCCAGTGAGAGTGGAACTGAAACCTGTGAGTGCTCTTGCAGCAGGAGGCAGTGCTGCTTCTTTCCCCTCAGTTTGCTGAGGCCAGTGTTGTGAGGCAGTGACCAGGAGTGCAAGGCCTGCGGGTGGGGCTGGTGCTTTAGCTTCTGAGTCAGAACAGGGTGTGGCTCAGGTGAAGTAGTTGCTGTAGAGTAATTCCTTCTGTAACTGTCTTGTATCCTTTGACAAAAATGTTGCTTTGGGTGCAGGGGATGCCTGTGGGCAGGATGCCTGCAAGAGTTTCTGTGGCTCTGGGAAGCTGTTTGATTTCTGTGCCTGCTCTGCTATGATTATTGTAACCTCAAAATCACAGGGTGTTTTATAGGCCAAGGTAATTGAGTGCTTGGCGAGGTCTGCCAGAGCGGCCGGGCACAGTCCCTGATGTGAAATCCCACGGTGCAGAGAACAGCACTGTGCTTTCTCTTGTGTGGGAGGACTGTGCCTCTGGTAGGGCTTGACTCTGCATCCTCTGACGTGGGGGCCATCTTGAGGGCAGCCATGCTGCCCCTGTCCCCTCTGTGAGTGGTGGTGAGGGGCTGTATATCCTCCAGGCAGTGCTACTGCCGTGCTTCTCGCGCTGCCAGCCCCACCAGCACTTTGCACCAGTGGCTGTGGTGGTCAGCAGAAGTTTCCTACTGGTTTGTAGCCAGTCATGGAGGCAGTGACAGCCTTCTGAGTGTTCTCGAGTGGAGACCACAGTTCCTGTTGCCATTACTTCTCTGCTTCAGGAGCAGGTGCTGTCGCTTTCAGTTCCTTACCTGGCAGAGTTCACTATCCTGTGGGGCTAGAGCAGGCCTGGAGACATTTCTGGCTGTTGGAGATAATTCTGTGAGTGGCAGGGATTAGGTGTCATGTCAGTTTGGTTCCCCACCCTGATCTGGAAGGAGGTTTTCAGATGTGGACATTGGCAGCTTGTGCAGGAATGGAAATGTTAAAGTGCAGCTGGGCCACGTGGTTCTCTGGTTACAGCAGAATTAGTTTGAGCATGACCAAACACCAGGTTCTTTCTGTCAGATCAAGACAGGACTCCTCTATATGGCTGGAGGCGGGGACCTGGTGAACTGAGCTGGGCAACACAGCTGAGCCTGGGTGCCAAAAGCTCACAATGAGATGTGCCTCAAAAAAGCAGTGCCTCCATGGTGCAGAATTGTTGTGTTGCTCCCACTCTGGTGCTGTTTAGAGTAGGATATGGTGGTGTGACCCAGAGCAGCTGGAGCAGTCCTGGAGCTGACTTGCTGCAGTGCTGCAGGCAGGACTCTGGGGAAGGAGAAATGTGAGAAAGCAGAGGAGGGAGGTGGGCAGCACATGCAGGATGAAAGGCCTGGACACAGATTCAGGGTAGAAAGAGGTGATGTGTGAAATTTTCAGCATCAGCTTGCTGGCCTATGTTGTGAGGTGACAGAATGACAGACCTGGCTGCACTCTGCTTCTCTGCCCACCAGTGTCTCGCCCTGAGCTTGAGCAGGCTGAGACTGCCCAGGAGAAGGACTCAGAGGAGGGTAAGTGGAGGTGTGTGCCAGCTCTCACTGCATGGCCATGGAGTGCCCTTGCCAAGGGATCTGAAGCTCTCACCTTGTAGTCCAGTGCTCTGCCATTGAGCAGAGCTAACGTGAGCACTCCCTTGCCTCAGTGTTTATCTTAACAGTATGTGGCCTTCCCAGGGGCAGAGAAAGGCTGTCTGCAAGGAAGAGGCCCTGGGTATGTGGCCGGCTGCTTGCAACTCAAGTGTCACAGTGTCACTGAGCACAGGCCTGGGACACCTTGCTGCTGACACCTGCTCTGCTTGTATCTGAGTAGGACATGATGCTGTGCTGGGAACATCTCAAGCTGTGTCACCTTGTGGACAGCATTGGCTGGTTTCTGTCCAAGTCCAGGCCTGCTTTGAGGACAGAGTAGGATGTCCTTGTGCCCCAGGGGTAGAACAAACCTGATTGAAGTCAAGGTGATCAAAATCACTTCCTTGTGTTGAAGACTTCAGGGCATCAAAGGCCACACCTGGAGTGTGGCAGGCACACAATGGAAGTTCTGCCTGCACCAGAGTATCGCTGCTGCACTTTTTTCTCACCCGTTACAGCGTACTTGCCCCCTGGCCAGCCTGCACATCTTTCATCCTTGTTAGCCACCCTCACCCGGCAGGAGTACAGTGCTTTGATGGTTGCAGCTGGGCTGCTTGGTTTGCATATGCAAAGGGGAAGTGGCAATTTCTGATTGTGGTCAGAGTCCACCTAAATCCCCCAGAGTAATTCTGTGGCTTCCTCGTTCCTTGGGAAAGCAGTAATTGCTTTGTCGTTGGCAGGAGCCACCCTCTCTTCCCAGCTGCCACTGCTGCTTGTGGCACTGCCAAGAACAGCGTTGCCTTTCTGATCTCTCTTGTTCCCACTGGGATTCATCTGCCCTGCTGCAACATGTGTTCTTGTTTGTGGCCTCTCTGATGAGGGCAGGTCCCTTTTAATTGTCCTGATCTGTGTTCCCTGCGGTGACCTCCTTAACTGCGTGTGTGTTCAGGCTTGCGTTCCCCAGCCAAGGAGTGGGCACTTCAGGCTCATTCCCCAGCAAGTGGGTGACACTTCCCTCCCTTTTCCTAGAGCTGCTGCTGGACTGGAAGCAGAATGCTGATGAGATCATTATCAAGTTGAATTTGGGCACTGGAGCTCTGAAGGCAGAGGATGTACGTGCTGATTTCACTGACACGGACTGTGTGGTCAAACTACCAGGTATGGGAACGGAGCAACTGCTGCAAGCATTTGTCCATTGGGATTTGGCACAGCTCTGGGCCAAGCACAGGGTTGCTGCAGGCAGACATCAAACTTTTCCCTCAGAGGCAATGCCCTGCTCTCAGCTGGCACACAGTCAGGCAGCAGACAGGGACGATAGGAGAGCATTGTAGAGCTGGGGAGGACAGGAGCTGGCCTGTGTGCCAAGTGATCAAATGTGCACGGCCACGCCAGTGCGTCTCTGTCCCCTGCTTGCTGGGATGGCCGAGTCAGTGCCGGGTATCCTTTGGAAAAGTGACTGTGCCTTTTAGGGTGGGGAGACCCAGGGCCTTCCCGCTGGGAAGAAGGCCAGCCAGATGTACAAAGCAAGTTCAGGGAAGCTGGCTGGAGCCCTGGAAGGCTCCTGGGGTATGGTGGCAGCCTGCCTGCAGCCTTCTTGGCTCTGAATGAGTGCTTCCTTCATCCTGGGGGCAGGTGAAAGGGGGCTGTGGGTTAGGTGACAGCTGCCTGGAGCACTGCCTGAGGTACTGGTTCCCCTCTGCTTTACAGACGGGCGCCAGTGGAGCTGTCAGTTCTATGAGGAGATTGAGAGCTCCTGCAGCAAGATCCAGTGCAAGAAGGGCAACTTTCTCCAGCTTGTGCTGCAGAAGAAGATCCCACTCCATAACTGGTCTTCACTTCTGGTAAGGAGGGAATGATCTGTCTGTTAAGTGAACTCATGGAGCCCTGGTGAGCTGGGGTGAGCTCCGAGCTCCCTGCTGTTGAGCTGCCCAGGGAGCAACATGGGACACATCAGTCATCTACGTGCTGCATGAGCCATCTGCCACTGTCCCGGGGAGTCATACCCCTGTTTCTGCCTGCCATGCATTCCCAGGTTCTGGAGTACAGTCCTGGTGCAGTCTGGGAAGGGGGAGTGAGGGTGAGGGGCTGATAGGGATCCTGAAAGATGCTGCTACCTGAGTACCTTCCCACTGTGCTGCATTGCTTTTTACAGAAAAAAAGGAAAGACGGATCCAAAGAAGTGGCCAAAGGGGCTGCGTGCTGGGAGAACGGGAAGGAGAAGGCTGCTTCTGCAGAGCTGACCCCTGAAGAGCCGAAGGCTGAAGGCACAGAGCCACCGAGATCCCGGCGGGAGCCCTCCAACCCCAAGCGTGCTCCAGGAAGAAGCGAGGTCCTGGGAGGGAAGAGCCCAGCCAGCCCAGGGACACAGAGTGGCCCCAGTGCCAAGCGGGCAGTGTACCTCAAAGTGGCTCCCACGGAAGAGGAGCCGAATGCCCGGGTCAGCGGGGGCACGGAACCCAGCAAAGGGCACGGCACGAGGGCCGGCAGCCGCCGCAACGGCAGAGCCAGCCAGGCTGATGCACCCGCGGCCCTGGCAGACCTCGCGCTGCCACTCGAGAAGGTACCTGGGCACCTGGCTGGGCAGGGTGCCCCTGCTTCCTCTGCCCTGTGCGGGGGATGCTGGAGCCAGCCCTGCTGATGAGGGTGAGGTGGGCTCCGGGATGCTCAGGGCTGATAGGAGAACCTGTGGTGGAGGAGAGGGTGAAGTGAGGACCCTGCAGTTGCTGTGCTGTGGTGCTAGTGGGGCTGGGCTGGCATGGGATGTGTGGGGGAAGCAGGTGGTATGGAGCTGTGCCTGACTGGCTGGCAGGAGCCGCAGTGGGTGGGCCAGGGCAGCTCAGGGGTGACAGTGTCTGTTGTTCACTGTGTGTTTCTGTATTGAAAGGCTGTGATTTTGGCCAAAGAGAGTGTTCCCGTGGAGATGCCACCTCTTGCAGCTACCACAGAGGTGCTCCCCCATCGTGTTGCCACCTGTGTTGAGAAGAGAGTCCTGCAGCCAGGCAGCCCTACTGAGGCCTTGCGGAGCCGGGACTGCCTGCCCATCCTGGGAGAGAGCTCTAAGGCTGTCCCAGTGGCCACCCCTCCCATGGGCAGGGATGGTGAGAAGAGGGACTGGTCCAAGGACGACGTGGCTCTGGAAGCAGCAGCTGATGGTGAGTGGCCAGAGCCCATGGGGTGAGCCTGGTCAGGAAGGTCCATCTGCTCAGGACCTTTCCTGGGTTAGCTTGCAGCTCCAACATGCAAGGAAGATAACCTCTCTCTCTGTGGTTTTCCTTACTCAGAGCCAGAGCCTTTTGTAAGCCTGACCTTTGTCAAGAATGACTCATATGAGAAGGGCAATGATCTGGTGGTGGTGCATGTCTATGTGAAGGAGATCCACAAGGAGACATCCAAGGTGTTGTTCCGGGAACAAGACTTCACACTAGTGTTCCAGACGAGGTACAAGCTTGCCTCGGGATGATGCCAGGCCGCTGCAGAGCTCCTGATTGCAGCTGGGCTACTTGTTTGTTCACCTCTGCTCACTCCCAATTTCTCTGCAGTGATACAAACTTCCTTCGTCTCCATCCTGGCTGTGGGCCCCACACGGTGTTCCGGTGGCAGGTGAAGCTCAGGTATGAGTCCTGTCCTACTAACCCACACCAGGGCAGGGGAGATGAGAGTGCAGAGCTGGAGCAGGAACCAGTCCCATCTGGAGGTTCTGTATGGGGAATGCTCGTTTCCTCATCTGGAGGTTTCACTTACACCATGCTACACTGGTGCTGTGAGCCTGCTCTGCCTTGGCTCTGTGCTCGCTTGCAGGGGAGGAAATTCCAGTGTCTCCTTGCCTGCAGTTTGCCCCAGGCTGTTCTAGAGCTCTTAGGGACAGAGCTAGACCAGCTTGTGTGCCCTTTGGGTAGGATGTGCAGCAGGAGAGAGCCAAGCAGAATGGATCTGTCAGAAAAGGGATGCTCTGTGTGCTCAGTGTGGCCAGGCTTGAGGGTTTCCACCCTGCTTTGTCAGGGCTACCTCAGGATGTGTGCTAGCAGGGTCCCTACTGCCTGGAGGCTATGGGTCTGCCATGCAAAGGCCTTGGCATGTCTGAGGCTGCTGTGGGGTCTGGGGCATCTCTCACTTGCTTTGTGCCTTGCAGGAACCTTATTGAGCCGGACCAGTGCACGTACAACTTCACGGTGTCTCGCATCGATGTCTGCCTGAAGAAACGCCAGAGCCAGCGCTGGGGGGGGCTGGAGGCTCCAGCCACACGAGGTCTGCACCCTGCCTTCTGTCCTGCCTTCTGTCCTGCCTTCTGTCCTGCCTGCTTGCTGTGCTGCAGGGGGCCATGGGCCCTCCTCACCACTGCCAGCTGGTGCTGCATCCTCTGGCACGGAATGGTGGGGAAGGAGAGGGGCTGAGTGGGTGCAGGTGGGAGGGATGTGAGGCAGGGTGTGAGCCAAGTGTAGGGGAAGGGCACTGCTGTTTCCCTTGCTCACGGGTAGGAGAGGGCCTGTGTAAGTGTGGACTGAACAGTTCAGCCCCAGTGTGGGCAGTGTATGGTGCTGCTAACCACAGGCCCACCCTTCCCCCTTTTTAAGGTGCAGTGGGTGGTGCAAAGGTTGCCATGCCTACAGGCCCTACCCCTCTGGATAAGAACCCTCCAGGCAGTAACCAGCACCCCCTCTCCAGCAAGGAAGAGGCCCGAACCAGCGACAAAGAGAAGCCACGTGTGGAAGATGGGGCTCTGGATGGTGTGGCAGCCCGTACGGCCCCAGAGCACTTGGCAGTGAAGCAAGAGCCACACATTCCTTCGGTGAGTGTGGTCACACTGGGTCTGACCTGGATAGGGGAAAGAGAGACGCCTCCTCAGAGCTGCTCTGGAGACTGATGTACTCCCGGAGGAGGACGTGGTGCCCCTCACTCATAGTTGGCAGGACTGGGGGCAACTGTTGGCCTGTCTGTCCCAGTCCAAGTGGGAGATGGTGTGATGGCTCCAACCCTCTCTAGGGGTTTTCTTGGGCTTTTGAGTTCCTCTGGTGTTCCCAGAGACACTCCCTGAGTGCCACACCCTCACACCTGCCTCTGCTTTGGCAGCCCAAACCAACATGTATGGTGCCACCGATGACACACAGCCCGGTGAGTGCCGAGAGCGTGGAGGATGATGAGGATGAGGATGAGAAGAAGAAGGTCTGCCTGCCTGGCTTCACAGGTCTGGTGAACCTGGGCAACACCTGCTTCATGAACAGCGTCATCCAGTCCCTGTCCAACACCCGGGAGCTGCGTGACTACTTCCATGGTGAGCCCACACGGGGAGCCCTGCAGAGCTTGACCACTTAGATGAAGCCAGCAGTCACCCTGAGCTCCTGCATCTCTTGCAGATCGGTCCTTTGAGTCAGAAATCAACTATAACAACCCGCTGGGGACGGGTGGACGCCTGGCCATTGGCTTTGCCATGCTGCTCAGAGCACTGTGGAAGGGCACGCACCATGCCTTCCAGCCCTCTAAACTGAAGGTAGGGCCCCTGGCATTGGTGCTCACAGGAGCAGCTATGGGTCTCCAGCATTCCTTTGTGGGCACCTGGCTGCCCGGCAAGTGCCACAGAGAGCTGTGGGTATGGGTGGGTGCAGCCAGGGTTTGTGCATGGGGCAGGCAGTGCTGCCAGAGCTCTGCTGACCAGCCCTGACTGCTGTGCTCCCCACAGGCAATTGTGGCCAGCAAGGCCAGCCAGTTCACTGGCTATGCCCAGCATGATGCTCAGGAGTTCATGGCCTTCCTGCTCGATGGCCTGCATGAGGACCTCAACCGCATCCAGAACAAGCCCTACACAGAGACTGTTGACTCGGATGGGAGGCCTGATGAGGTGAGGGTGTTCCTCCCCCAGAGTCACCGGGGAGAGCAGCCTGGGTGGTTTAATGAGGTGCTAAGCCCTTTCTTCCTGCAGGTGGTAGCTGAGGAGGCTTGGCAACGACACAAGATGAGGAATGACTCGTTCATAGTAGACCTCTTCCAGGGCCAGTACAAATCCAAGCTCGTCTGCCCGATGTGCTCCAAGGTAGGGCAGCTCTGAAGGTTCTGTCCCTGTCCTGGTTGTGCAGGAGTAGGCTCGTGACACTCAGAGAGCACAGGTCACAGGGCAAGGCTGGGTCCATTGGATCTGCTGCTCAGCCACAAGCACTTCCCACAGCTGAGTGTGTTTTTGTTCTCCAGGTGTCTATTACCTTTGACCCCTTCCTGTATCTCCCCGTGCCCCTCCCACAGAAGCAAAAGGTGCTGACTGTCTACTACTTTGCAAAGGAGCCACACAAGAAACCCATCAAGGTAAGGGATACCTTTACCCTGGGGAGGGAGCCGAAGAAGGCTCCTGGAGGTGCCCCAGGCAGCTGGTCATGTGCCAACTGGCCAAGTCCTGTGTTGAGTAAGGGCCCTCATGCCTTAGTGTGCTGTGACTAATATGGCACTTTCTCGGTGGCAGTTCCTCGTGAGTATCAGCAAGGAGAACTCCAGTGCCATGGAGGTGCTTGACTCAGTTGCCCACAGCGTGCGTGTGAAACCAGAGAACCTGCGCCTGGCAGAGGTGAGAGTGCTGGGCAGATACCTCCTCTGGAGGGTTGGGCCACCACAGTAGGGCCTGGGGATGTCCATCTTTCCCTTGTGAGGTGGTGAGATGAGCACAGCATCCTTGGGCTGCTGCTCTTCCCACAGCTCACTGTGAGACTGGGGTCTGTGGCTCTCTGAGAGGACACATAGGGCAGCCCTCACACGGCCATGCTCCACTGCTTTCCTGGCAGGTGATCAAGAATCACTTCCACCGCATGTTCCAGCCCTCTAACTCACTAGACACAGTTTCGCCAACGGACCTGCTGCTGTGCTTTGAGGTGCTGTCCCCAGAGCTGGCCAAGGAGCGTGTGGTGGAGCTGCAGGTCCAGCAGGTAAGAAGGCATATCGGGATTGCTGGGAGGGATGCAGGAAGGCTGAGCACTGAGCAGGAGGGGCAGAACTGCACACAAGGGCAGTTAGCTACAGCGAGCATGAATGCCCACCTTGTCCTGCCCAGGTGCCCTTCCCTGTCCAACGGGTCCTTTCTCCTGCAGCGTCCACAGGTGCCCAGTGGCCCTGTTGCCAAGTGTGCAGCCTGCCAGAAGAAGCAGCTGCCAGAGGATGAGAAGCTGAAGCGCTGCACGAGGTGCTATCGAGTTGGTTACTGCAACGTGTGAGTTGGCTTGGTGCCTGGCAGGGATGGAGGATCTCCTGCTGTGAAGGGTTGGATGGGAGAGCTCTGCCTGCTGGGAGAAGGTGGGATGGATCTGCCCTTTGGGATGGAGCCAGTTGAATTCCTGGTGTTCCCCTTGTCCCCAGCACACTCCTCTGGCCCTGCACTGCTCCTTCCCAGGCTGTTCGAGGATGCTGAGTTCAGCGGGGGCTGTTTGTATGTCTGACATGCCGTGTATGTGTTACAGGGCATGTCAGAAAACACACTGGCCAGACCACAAGGCCTCGTGCCGTCCTGAGAACATCGGTTTCCCCTTCCTCATCAGCGTGCCCGAGTCCCGCCTCACCTACGCCCGCCTGGCCCAGCTGCTGGAGGGCTACGCCAGGTGAGAGTCTGGGGAAGGAGTGTGCTTCTGCCTGGAGCTGAGCTCAGCCCCGTGTCTGGCCAGCTCTAACTCCCACCTCCATGCCCAGGTACTCAGTCAGCGTGTTCCAGCCTCCCTTCCAGTTGGGCCGGATGTCACCGGAGCAGGGGCTGCAGCCTCTGCACTCGGACAAGCTGGAGCCCCTGGCCAAGAGCAGCTGTGCAGCAGCCACCTCTGCCCCCGAGCTGGGAGATGGGGACAGGGTTTCCAGCCTCCCTCAGGAGCCCCCGCTCTCCCCAGCTGTGCCTGAGCTGCAGCCAGAGATGGGGGATACTACCACTGTCCGGAGCAAGGTCCTGACAGCCAGGAGTTCCCTCCTGAGCTTGGATTCAGGGTTCTCTGAGCACATGGAGTCACAGGGTGACAGCTGTTGTGAGAAGGAGCCATCCTATGAGAGAGCCCTCAAGCCAGAAGGTAAGAGGTGCTGAAGCGCTGGCTGTGTCTGTCCCGGGACCTCGGGCAATTCTCCCTCCTTGGGGTGACCTTCCAGCACAGCATCTCTTCTACACATGTGAGCTTGGTCTGGAGACTCTTGGGATCACAGATGAGGACATGGGAGCTTTGTTTTGGCACTCTTGCCTCACCTGAAATGCTTGTCTACCCACGCTCTGCCCTGCCCTGGCAAAGCCCAGGGTGTAGAGCAGAGACCTGATGAGCAGAGAGGCTGGAGTGCTGTGTTGTTGTGGGAGAGGTGGGAATGGCAGAAGTCCTGTGGGAGCAAGGCAGAGCTGGTGCAGGCTGAGCCCCTGGGGGCTGTGAGCAAAGCACTTGGCTGGCTCTGACTCAGCTGCATGGGACCAGCCTCTCGCGCTCGGCTGCCTGGCTGTCACGTTTCCAGACACTCGTCTCAGGATGGCAGCAATGTGCAGTGAAGGGGCAAGGCAGGCAGAGGAGCACAGCTTGCCAGGGGCAGGCGCCTGCTAAAAATAGTCAAGGACACGGGCACGTGGTTGTGTCCCTTCAAGGCCGTAGCATGTGAGGTGGGGGTGGGGGCGCTGCAAATTCTTGGCCCCTACGCAGGGCAGACAGGCAGTGCCACCACAAATCTGTCCCTGCCTCTTCACAGCTGCCATCCCTGGGTACCAACACACTCCAGACTCACTGAGTGCCCGCGCCACGCAGTTCTACATCACTAAGATCGATGCTGCCAACCGAGAGCACAAGCTGGAAGATAAAGGTGAGCCAGAGCCCTGTAAAGCACCACCTTCATCCCTTACAGCCTCTGGCAGGGTAGTGGATCTGCCTGGCCAGGGTACCAGAGTCTGCCTGGCACGAGATGAGCCCAGGTGTCCACACTGGACAGTAAAAGCTGCATCTGACAGGGGAGGGAAGGGCTCTGCTGCACAGAGCCTCTGTCTAGAATCTCCTCTTGGGCATGACATTCCTGCTCTCATCAGCAAATAGGCCAGTTCCTTCCAACCTCATGTATTCTCAGAGGGTCTGTGATCTCTGGGTCACCTCTTTGCATAGAACGTCCACACCAAGTGCTGTTTGTGAGGGTGCTGCTGATGAGAGGGCTGTGCCAGTGTTGCACCCTGCAGGCTGAGGGGCTCTGCATGATGAACCTAGCCAGGGGGGTACCTGTCTCATTCTGGCAGCACTTTTTGATTTCTGTATCTAACTGGGATGGGCAGGATTGCTCCAGCAAGGTGGCCTGGTATAGCCTGGTGGGGTAAGTGTTTGAGGTCTATGCCCCTTCACAGGTGACATCCCCCTGGATCTGACAGACGACTGCTCCCTTGCCCTGGTGTGGAAGAACAATGAGCGCCTCAAGGAATTCGTGTTGGTAGAATCCAAGGAGTTGGAGTGTGTGGAGGATCCAGGCTCAGCCAGCGAAGCAGCCCGGGCTGGCCACTTCACCCTGGAGCAGTGCCTCAATCTCTTCACGAAGCCTGAAGTCCTGGCCCCAGAGGAAGCGTGGTGAGGAAGGCAGCAGGGTGGGTTCCAGCCAACAGGCCCAGACAGCAGCAGGGGTTTCCCAGGAGCTGCCCAGGCCTGCACGCTGTTTCTGCTGGCAGCCAGGAACAATGGGCTGGCTTTGCCTGTGCACTCGGAAGGGCTAAGCCAGCAGGGAGCAAAGCTAATGCTCTGCAGGGCTGTACTGGCCTGCCCTTGACAGAGCAGGCTGAGCCCTTCCACATACCCTTTGCCAGCCTTGCATGTGGGGACCCTGGGGCTGAGCTGGGCTGCAAGGACTGAGGCTCTCTCCATGCCAGTAACGAGCACACTCTTCCCCAGGTACTGCCCCAAGTGCAAGCAGCACCGCGAGGCTTCCAAGCAGCTGATGCTGTGGCGGCTGCCCAACGTCCTCATCATCCAGCTCAAGCGCTTCTCCTTCCGCAGCTTTATTTGGAGGGACAAGATCAATGACATGGTGGACTTTCCTGTCCGGTGAGAGCCCAGGGGATGGTGTGCCTGGGTTGGCACTGCCTCTGCTGACCTGCAACCCAGCCTGCATAAAACTGATCACCCTTGACGGTCACTGTATCTCTCTATAGGAGTCTGGACCTGAGCAAGTTCTGCATTGGTCGGAAGGGTGAGCAGCACCTGCCTATGTACGACCTGTATGCTGTGATCAACCACTATGGAGGCATGATTGGAGGGCACTACACAGCGTACGCCCGCCTGCCCAACGACAAGAACAGCCAGCGCAGCGACGTGGGTGAGCATCTGTCCCCCTGGCCACCCCGCTGCTCCCGCAGCCGTGACTTGTCTGCTTGCTTAACCCTTCCTCCTCCTCAGGCTGGCGGCTCTTTGACGACAGCACAGTCACCACGGTGGATGAGAGCCAGGTGGTGACCAGATACGCCTATGTCCTCTTCTACCGCCGGAGGAACTCTCCTGTGGAGAGACCCCTGCCAGGACATCCCTCAGACCACCGCGCCGAGCGCACCCCCTCTGCCGAAGCTGCTGCCAGCCAGGTGAGCACTCGCGTCCATTTCGCCGCTGTTGGAGCCACAGAGCCTTGAAATGTGCTCAGGGGCCCTCGTGCAGGGCCCTGCCTGTCTCTACCTGCACCCACAGAGCCTGGTGCAGCTGTGGTGCAGTGTCTGCACCCCTTTGATACCAGAGAGCTTGCGTCAGCTGGGCATTGGAGCCTGTCTTGCCTTGTTCTCACTGTGGTCTTGGGACAGTCCCTGTCCTGAGGGGTCACAGGAGAGCTGGTTTCATCATCAGTGTGGAAGTGCTGATGGGAGGGCACTGGAAGAGGAAGAAGGGGGCACAGCCTCACTGGGGTCTGCACTGGAGGAGGGGCTGTGAGCGGTGCAGTAGGATCTGGTCGTGCCAGGGAGCAGTAAGAACTTGCCCTCCGGAGCTACTTTCAAGGCAGGGTGGGGAACACTTTCTGCTGGGGCCCAACTCAGGGCCAAGCCAAGTGCAAAAAAGGTAAATGCCAGTGCTGAGCTAGAGGCCTGGCAACCTTCACAGGGTGCTGTAGAGAAACCTGCCAGAGCGAGCTCTGTTGCTGGGTGGCCTGGGAGGGAGGGACGGGGGTGGGCCAGACGGCAGGGTGCTTTCAGAATGCTTTCAGTGGTAGGGAATGGCTGCACTGATCTTGTGAAAGTCAGGAAGGCCTAGGCTGGTGCCCACCTGGTGAGATCCTATGCACCGTTGTGCTGCAGACGTTCCCTCCATGCTCAGCACCTCTGTGGGCCCGCAGAGTCTGAGGACAATCCTCAGTTCATCTCCAGCATGACTGCACATGTGTGCCCTGAGGGGCCCTTCTGGCCTGGCCTCCCTGCCCCTCTGGCTCATCCTCCCCTTGGCCTGGTGTTATTTAGGCATCCCAGCTCTGCCCTCTTGCCTGAGGACAAGCTGTTTGTCTCTGAGGCCGGCAAGGCTGTCTGGCATGTTGGTGTCTACCTGCTTGGGCTGTTCCTGCCCTGCGTGCGTGTCCTAGAGCAGCCCCACTCACTGGGGGCACCCTGAGCAATGAGAAAGCCACGCTGCTTTTCACACACTGGTGGTGAGAGGCTTCAGGGACCGAACTGGCACTGTGGCTCACTGTATGCCCCATGGCACTGGGGTTCATCAGGTTGCTCTGTGGCACTGGGGCTCATTGGGCCCCTTGCAGCACCGGTTCCCCTGCAGTAATGGGATGCATTGGATCCCAGTGGGGCTCAGCAGGTCCCCAATCACCCTGGACCACCTGTGCCCTCCAGAGACCTGCTCCCTCTGACTGGCTGCTCTGCATGATCACCACCATGAAGGGCCAAGCTGTGGTTGGCTGCCTGTGGAAAATCATCCTGGAACCTGGGCTACAATTGGTTGTCAGAGCATTCCTACCCTCCAAAGCAGAGCTGTGACTGGCTGTACTGGCACTGCGCCTCCTGCTCCTGCTGCTCCAGCTGGCTCTGGATTGGCTGTCATGTGAAGGATCCTGTTGGGATCACAGAAGCTGGGCTGTGATTGGCTGCTGCCTGCTCCCTTGCCTCCCGGACCCACCAATGCAAGCGCATCTGCTCCATCGGGATCCAGCTGCTGGCTTCACTCCCTGCAGTCCCGTGAAGACCCTGCCCGGCAGCTGCCCGTGCTGCCTCCCACAGAGCCACCCAGCGGAGCCCCACACACCAGAGACCCCGAAGAGCTGCGGGGGCGGGCGCGACCGCGACGGTGCTGCATGGGGAGGCGGGCTGGCTGGGCACGGGGCTGGGCTTGCAGGCAGCCGCCTGCCCCGGGGGATGGCAAGGGGTGTTGCCCGTTGTGTTCTCCAAGTGCTGACGCAGGTTTCCACATCGCAGGCTTCTCTGATCTGGCAGGAACTGGAGGCTGAAGAACAAGAGCTGCAGCTTGAGGCACCCCAAAGGCCTGCAAGAAACTCTTGGAGGCCCTGTGGCCAGAAGCGAAGTCCGGGCACCCCCCAGCACCCAGATGAAGGCTGCGTCAGATACTTTGTCCTGGCCACCACGGCTGCAATTGTGGCTCTCTTCCTGAACGTCTTCTACCCACTCATTTACCAGCCCCGCTGGAGATAGGCCCAGGCGCGTGGCCAGCTGCGGGAGCAGGGCCGCCAGGGCACGCGCCGTCCTAGGACGCTCTGAGACCAAGACATGAGGCAGCAGGACAGAAATCGCTGGGAAAGACTCGCCAAGGGAAACATGGGGCTGTCGGCTCCTGTCTGTCTGCTCTGGCATCTCCTGTGCCAGCTGGCAGGCCTGTGTGGCCAGCCTGCTACTTTGCCAAGGCACAACCCAGAACCAGAAGCTCCTTTGCCCTTCCTTGCTGCCCACTGGGAGTGGGGAAGACCTCAAGGCTACCTGCTGCTCAAGAAGGGACGTTGCTGCTGCAGCCTTGCTGGGGCCTGAGAGCCCTGTGGGCACATCAACCATCTCTGCTTGGCTCCCAAGAAGGAAATGGAGACCTGCCGGGAGGCTGCAGCAAGGGCAGGATGCCCTGACACGGGCCTGGCTGGCCACCTCTCTCAGCTGTGCTGCTTCAGGAGCCTTGAGCTCCCCTGGGGCTGGGTTACCCACGGTCCTTGGCCAGCCCAGTCTGCCCTGCTAGCCTTCTGCTGAGCCTTCTGGTGCCAGCCGCCTATGTGCTGGGAGCGTGTGCCACACTCCTGTGCTGGGGCTGGACGGGCTTGTCACCAGGGGCTTGTGTGCTTCCCTGCTCAGCCCCAGACAGGGCCAGGGAGCCTGGCAATCCAGACTGAGGTGCCCATGGTGGGCACCGTGGGGCTGTGTGCTGGTAGCATCTGGGGGAGTTGGTCTCTTCAGGGCAGTGTGGTGCAGCACCTCATTTGCGAGGGTGCCAGCTGCCCATGCTGCGGGAGAGGCGTGGGGTCAGGGAGCACAGATATGGCCATGGTGCATTAAATAAAGCCAGGTTTTCCAAAAAAATGCAGTATTCCTGTCCTGTGTGCTGGGACTCCCACACAGAGGTGAGGACTCCACACTGGGGTCACCTGAGGCCACTATGTGACCCAGCTGGCACCAGAACCATCCCTTGGGCTTTGCTGGGTGCCTGGTGCACCTTGTGCGGCAGCAGGCTCAGGAGTGAGCTCTGCCTGCCCGTGCCATGGGGCACAGGCTGGGCTCCAGTCCCAGCTGTGGAGTGATAGCCTCATGGGACACGTGCAGGGTGTGGGGATCCTGGCAGGGCCAGGAGCAGGCAGTCCCCTGAGGCTGGGGCACAGGCTGCCACTCCAACCGTGTCTGACATTGAGACGTGTTGCCCTTGGCTGCGTGTGGCTCAGACGGCTCTGGTGTATCTGGGTGTGAGAGGTGACTTCAGAGCCCTGTGACTTTCTTTTCTGTCTCCACTGCTGTTCTGCTGGCAGTGCCCTCAGCTGGCCTGGGAGGGATGCTTTGCAGTGAAGGGGTTCCTCTGTGTTTTAGGCCAGGGCCTGAGCTGGACTCCCCCTACCTTTGTCCCACACCCCTCCTCCACGTGCTGAGGTTTACTCCCTGCCCAAGCAGGTCCCAGCCGGAGAGCACAGCAGGGCTGTGCCGTGGTCATGAGGTGCCTGTCCTGGAACAGTCGCCTCATTGTCTGCAGCCCTGGGTCTCAGCAGCTTCCCCCGCTCACCCACGGTGCCGGCCTCGTGGGTCTGAGTCAGTGCCCGGCGCCGGTGGGCTGACCTCTGCTCTGACTGCTGCTGGCACCCCAGCCTTGGGGCCCACAAGCCGCTGCCTGCACCTGCCTGACCTCACCGGCGGTGGGTGGCCGGCAGTGAGACCTGACAAAGTGCTCTCAGCCCTGGAAATCCCCTCTGGCCCTGCTCTGTTCCTCAGACCTCCGGCAGGCACTGGCAGCGTGCCTGTGGCCCGTCACTGCCGCCCGTGCTGGGGTGCAGGGCTGTGCTCCGCCCTGGGGCAGGAGTGCTGCGGCCTGGCCCTCCTGCCGGGCCAAAGGGGCTGCCTCCAGCGGCCCTGGGCACACTGCTTCCCTTTGCCCTGTCCCTGGGCACACTGCTTCCCTCTGCCCTGCCCCCTGGGCACACTGCTTCCCTTGGCCCTGTCCCTGGGCACACTGCTTCCCTCTGCCCAGTCCCTGGGCACACTGCTTCCCTCTGCCCTGCCCCCTGGGCACACTGCTTCCCTCTGCCCTGCCCTGGGGTTTGCCACCAGATGCTGCTCTCCAAGCCCAGGGGCTGCACATTCTGCGTGTGGAGCTGTGTCCCCCCCGGGCACCTCTGCAGACCCCCGGGAGCAGGGAGGGAGATGGGTGGGCAGGGTGCAAGTCTCCCTCTCATGCCCACCTTCTGCTTGCAGGGACTGCCCCCGGTGCCGTTCGGATCCGGCCTGGCCCCCGAAGGAGCCCCGCCGCTGGCTGCGGAAGGCCTCCCCGAGCGTTTTGCCAGCCCCGCCGAGCGCCCAGCCCCCTCCTACAGCAGCATGGAAGAAGTCGACTAGGGTGTCATGGGGGGCCTGGCCTGGGGGTGTGGGCCAGGCCAGGCACTGGGGGGTGGGGGGATGGGGGGAATCGGGGTTTGTCCTGCGCTCATTAAACTCTCTGAACTCCACTCGCCTCTGCTGCCTGCTGTCCCTTGGGACCCTCTGCCCCCTCGTGAGTCAGGGCACCATGTCCCCGGTGTGCTGATAGGACCCCCAGCACTCTGCTGCCACGGGTGCCCTCGTGCTCCAGTGTTCCCTGGTGTGACTTGGTGCTCGCTATCCCCTAATATCCCTCAGGGACCGGTGCCATTGCCGGGTGCACTCCGCAGCAGCGGCAGGGGACACAGTGTTCCCTGGTGCCTGCTGCCTCGTGTGCTCTGCTGCTGGCTGCTCCCTGATGTCTCGTGTCCCCTGTGCAAATCCCGCCGCTTTAGTGCCCCGTGTCTTCTCCTGTGCCCTGGTGCTGGTGGGACGAGCCGTGCAAGTCCCGGAGTTTCAGTGCCTGTTGTGCACTGAAGTGCCTCGTTCCCGCTGCCTGTCTTGTCACCTGCTGTCCCTAGCGCTCTGCTCCCTGGTGTCCCCGGGCGTGCCCTACTGCCTTGTGTCCCTCGCGCCCGGTATCCCCCGTTACCAACGCCGCCCCTCGCTGTCCGTAGTGCCCGGAATCCCGCCGGCTGTGCCTCGTCCCCCCGTGCCCCCCGCCTCGCCCCGCGGCCGGTGCCAGTGCGTCGGAACTGCAAGTCCCGTCAAGCCGCGGGCGGGTGGCGCGGCCAATGGGGCTCGGGGGGCGGTGCGGCCGGTCGCTGCCTCCGCCGCCGCCCGGTGCCGCGGCGCAGAGAGCCCCGGAGCGGCCGCGCGGCGCCGGCCCCGCAGCCCGGCTCTGAGCCGCCCGCCCGGCCCGGCCCGCCCCGCCGCGCCCCGCCGCCCTCAATGAGGTTCTTCCGACTCACCTTCAAGTGCTTCGTGGATTGCTTCTGAGCCCCCCTCGGCCACGGAGCCGCCCCCGACCCGCCCCCGCTCCCCGGCCCCCCGCGACATGCCCCCCGTCCCCACCGACACGGCCGCCCCGCAGCCGCCCGACGCCCCGCGACGCGACGCCGCCGCCGCCACAGCCGCGGCCGCCGCTGCCCCGGCGGGCTCCGGTAAGCGGGGAGCGCCGGGGAGGGATGAGCTTGGGGAGGGGGAGAGGGGGGCCCACGGCCACGCGCGACCGCGGCGCGCCCCCTCCCGCCGCCGCGGGGTGAGTCACCGCTCTGCATTGTGACGTCACGCGCCGGCCTGACATCTGACGTCACGCCCCTACGCGCGGAGAGGGGCGCGGGGGGGGGGGGAGGTGCTTCCCCCCCACCGCCACGGCGCCCCCACGGGCGCGCGTGACGGCGGCGTGGGCATCCCCACAACCCCCGTCTCGGCAGAAGGCCCCGGCGGGGCGGAGGGCACAGAGCCCCCCACGGCGGGCGAGGAGCGAACAGTGACGGCACCACTGGTGCGACCCCCTGGTCCCCCCAAAGAGGCCGCCCCCGAACGGGAGACATGGACCCGGCAGATGGATTTCATCATGTCCTGCGTGGGCTTCGCCGTGGGGCTGGGCAACGTCTGGCGCTTCCCCTACCTGTGCTACAAGAACGGCGGAGGTGAGCCTCGTGCTCGCCCCACGCTGCGGGGGTGCGTCCCGCGGCGCGGGGGGCACCCCCTTCCCGCCCCGGAGTGTGTGCCTGGGGCTCGCCGCACGCTGGGTCAGCTCGCCCTGCGCCTTCCAGGGGCTCCCGGGCCGGCCCGCGGTGTTCCGGAGTCACTCACGGGGCGGGGGGTCGTGGGAGCCCCCCAGTACTGCCCGTGCTGACCTACATCGCGGCGAGGGGAGGGCGCGGAGGCGCCTTTGCCATTCGCTGCGTCCGGGCGGGCGGCGCGGGAAGGGGGGAGCGAAAGGGGGGGCCGGGGGGACGGCGGCGGCTGAGCCGGCCCCCTGCCCCCGGCCCCAGGCGTCTTCCTCATCCCCTACCTGCTCATCGTCTTCGTGGGCGGCATCCCCATCTTCTTCTTGGAGGTGGCTCTGGGACAGTTCATGAAGCAGGGGGGCATCGCCGCCTGGAACATCGCCCCTCTCTTCAAGGGTAACGCCGCGCCCTGCCCGCGCCCTGCCTGCACCCTTTCCGCGGCCCCTGCACCCTGGCCAGGGCCCCCGGCACCCTGTCTGCACCCTGACTGTGCCAGGCTGCACGCAGCCTGCTGGGGCTGGCAGCACCCTGCCCACGCCCTGCCTGCTCCCCTGCACCTTGCCCGCGTCCCACTGCCGCCCTTTGCCGCGGCCAAGGATGGCAGCTGCCTGCACCTGTGCCCCGTGGCACCCCGTGCTGCCCTGCCTGCCTTGCCTGCCCCTGTGGCTCCCTGCCTGCATGCTGCTGGGTCCCAGGCAGCTGCTGGATCCCCAGCTCCAGAGGTATCTTGCCGGCTCCCCCCTGGTCCTGTGCCATGCTGCCAGCTGTCCCCACCCTGTCCCGTCCTGCCTGGGGCTGCCAGCTTCCCTGTCCCATTCCCACTAGCTCTCTCCTGTCCTGTCCTGTCCAGGACTGCCAGCTTTCCCTGTCCTGTCCCTGTCAGTTCTCCTCTGTCCTCCCCCATCTCTACAACACCCCGTATCCCACTCCATGCTGGCTGCCAGATGCCCACAGGTGCCTGCAGGCTCTGATCCCCCCGTGCCACAGGTTTAGGCCTGGCCTCTATGGTGATCGTCTTCTTCTGCAACTCCTACTACATCATGATCTTGGTGTGGGGGCTCTTTTACCTGGTGCATTCACTGACGGACACCCTGCCCTGGGCCACCTGTGGCCATTCCTGGAACACGGAGCAGTGCACGGAGCTCTTCAACCTGGACCTGTGCCAAAATGTCAGCATTAACACCACTGCCAGCACTTGGACCTCCAACTTCAGCTGCACCAACATGACCAACAAGCGCTCGCCTGTTATTGAGTTTTGGGAGTGAGTGTGGGAGCCAGGAGGGTGTTGTCTGGGGCTGGGAGTGTCATGCTGGTGCTCAGCACAGCCCCACTCTGCAGGAACAAGGTGCTGCGTCTCTCTGGGGGACTCAGCGAGCCGGGGGAGATGAACTGGGAGATGATCCTCTGCTTGCTTACCACCTGGGTCATTGTCTACTTCTGCATCTGGAAGGGTGTCAAGTCGACTGGGAAGGTAATGCTGGCAGGGGGAACGTGCGTCAGGGCCACTGGCATGAGAGAAGACTGCATCACATGGCACTGTTGGCTCCTGCCCCCCTGTGCCACAGCCCACAGGGGTGGGAGGCCCGTGTCCGGGAGGTGCTTGCAGCTGCTGGGGACGTTCCCAAGCTCTGGTCCTGCTGGGACACCCGTGGCACGTGACAGAGAGCCCTGGCCTGGGGGGTCTCATGGCCACCCACTGCTCTTCAGATTGTCTACTTCACGGCGCTCTTCCCGTATGTGGTCCTCATCCTCCTGCTGGTCCACGGAGTGACACTGCCTGGCGCGCTGGGTGGCATCATCTACTACCTGAAACCTGACTGGTCCAAGCTGGTTGAGGCACAGGTGAGGGCACTGGGGAGAGCAGCAGAGAGCTGGGTGCTAAACAACACCCTGGCACCCCCATCACCCCGTGACATCATCCCTCACACCCCAGGTCTGGATTGATGCTGGCACCCAGGTGTTCTTCTCCTACGCCATCGGGCTGGGCGCCCTGACCGCGCTGGGCAGCTACAACCGCTTCCACAACAACTGCTACAGGTAGGGCTGTGCCAGCTGCAGGCAGGCCCCCCAGTGTGCCCCAGTGACCCCCTGGTGTGTCCCCCAGTGCCCCCCAGCACTTCCTTAGATGCTGTGCCCACAGGGATGCCTACATCCTGGCTGTGATCAACAGCTGCACCAGCTTCTTTGCCGGCTTTGTTGTCTTCTCTGTGCTCGGCTTCATGGCCTCTGAGCAGGGCGTGGACATCTCCAAGGTGGCCGAGTCTGGTAAGTGACGGATGCTGGGTGCCAACGGTGTCTTCTGTGTCACCCCTTGAGTGGAATCTCTGACCCCACTCTCCTGCAGGTCCCGGGCTGGCTTTCATCGCCTACCCCAAAGCTGTGACGCTGATGCCCTTGTCCCCGCTGTGGGCCACGCTCTTTTTCATCATGCTTCTCGTGCTGGGGCTGGACAGCCAGGTGCTGTGGCAACCGGGGAGATGGGGAACAGGGAGAAGATGGGTGGCCCATCCCCACTGAGCTCTGCTTTGTGCCACAGTTTGTCGGTGTGGAGGGTTTCATCACGGGCATCCTGGACCTGTTCCCCCAGCCGGGGGCTGGCTCGCTGCGCCGTGAGCTCACCGCTGCGCTCTGCTGCATCATCTGCTTTCTCATTGACCTCTCCATGGTCACACAGGTGGGGGACACAGCAGGGACACTGACGGCCAGCCCCACACCGGCCACCTGTGGCTGTTCCTGAGGCATCATCTCCCATGAGATGCCACTGTGGGGCGGGAGCTCACTGGGGCTGCTGCCCTCATGTCAGTGGAGCTGCCTAT